CCTTCGGGGTCACAAACGGCTATCTTCTGCCCAGCGCACTTCCAGATTAGCAGCGCTAACGCACTTGACCAAGGCGGAAATAGCTAGCCTGAGAGAAGGACCCCACCTGCCAGGTGGAACGGTCTTGCATGACCTTGTCTATGGCTATGCGGTTGATGCTTCGCTTGAGCCGGAGTGGTTGGTCATAACAGACGGGCAGCAGCCAGGACGTTGGCGGCTCCTCCACAATAGCTTTGGCCCAGGAAAAAGGTGCAGCGTAGGAAGCTCCCTGTGCTACCAACCAACGCCAAGCACGGTGGACCAACGTAGCGCACAAGATTACACTTTCGAAGCGTTGCACCGAGTGTACTTTTATGACGATGTGTGGCCAGTCCTCGATGCCCCCGGATCTGAACTGGTCCTGCCACCGCGACCAGGCCTATTCCTGGAAGTCCTAGTGGCGAGTAAAAAGTGCAACTTGCCACTGTGATACCTTTTGATGTCAAAATACGCCACTGGCCGTTTGTAGCCTTTTTTGCTATTCCGTACTGATTTGCACAAGCTGTGTTCTCAACAGCATGAAGCTGTACAAGCTTTGAGTTCCAGATTGCAAAATCTCAGAAACCGTCACCACTTGAGCCTCACGTACGGACAACGTCCAATCAAGGCGCTGTCCGTACGCGATTAGATATATGATACATATATATATATATATACGTATATTATTCTATGTTGTAAAACATAACCGGGGAAGAAACGTGTTTGGCGTTTTCAACTGTTGAGTTGAGAGCTCGCGTCTCTTGGGGGTCGGTGCCGTGGTGGGCGGTTGACGGTACCGCCGGCCGCATCCTTTTCTCAAAGCAAGCCGGCCGCGTCCCCCTGCGGCTTGCGAGTTGCATCCTCAGTTTGCGAGGTACATGTGCAATCGCACGTTCACCAGGTACTTCCGGATCGTACCTTCGTGAATTAGCTTTGAACTGCGCGTAGTTGAAACCTTGGAAACTCTGCCAACAAGGTCTTCGTCCAATTGGCATGAGTAACTAATTGGACTCAAGGTCCAAGGCAGCTCGACCGAACCGCGCTCCAAATGAAGAACTATGTGGCTCAGCATGTGGTACTTTGGTGTAAATTTGAACCGGCAGTACCCAAGAGCAAAGGCCGCATTGGCAGCCAAAGAGAATTGGGTCAAGAGAGATCGCCCTTCAAGAGCCACATGCTTTGCTTCTGGCTTTCGTAAGAATAAATGGCTATTGTACAATCTCCGCATGAAACCATTTCCGGCCTTCAGAGCACGGTGGATGGTCATAAGGTATGACAGGTGCTCGAATGCAGGGTTGTCAGAAATCACCTTGTTGTATCTCCTTTCTAAGTAGACTGCAACCGCGCGAGTGTCAGCACCCTTGAACCAGCTCCTTAGAACAGAAGCGCCGCCAAAAGAAAACACTACGACATCCGACATACTAAACGGGAGCCATATATTTGTCAAACAAATATCGTTCTGTACGTTATATACGTCCTTAAAATTCTATCAAGCAAGCAGCAAAGATATGATTTTACAGGAAAGCTTCCCAGTCGGAAAATCACAGTTCCTTTCAAAGGATAGGATGTTGCGCGTTAGATCCCCCAGATGTAGATCTAGCTTCTGCTCCTTGCAGAACCGCACCAAATCAAGGTACATGGTATGCAGTCGACTTGGAATATCGCCCGGTTGACTGTCCAACCCAAAGTCTAGCAGAACCACCTTACTGAGCATGCAGGCATCAGGGCACCATCACAAAAACACATGCTTTTTGGTCAGCGCACCAGAACAAATTTGTCTTTAGAAAATAAAACGGTGCATGGCCCTACCGAGAATCGATCGCGGAACCCGCCAACTCGCACATGACGCCTTTGTGGACTGTGTGGAAGATGTCCGGTCTGTAAAACCATGCTCTTTGAGCGTGGCTCAAAGACAGTGAAATGAGGTTTCGAGTCAAAGAGGTTTCTCTGGACCATGGTGGGGGGCAATGTTCCATTGAAGCAGGTTGCTGCCAAGAGCCATCGCTGGCATCATGCCAGTCTGGGAAGTCTGCAGTACCACCCAAACACAAGTGACAGATCCCCAAGCCACCCCCTTTGGCATGTCTACCATGGAACCTGACCAAGTTGGCCATTTTTCGCAACATCGGCCAATCACCCTTGGCGAAGATAAAGGTAGGGTAGATGGTAAGACCTCCTCTCACCTCCACTCCGTTCTCAAATGTATCCTTGCACTCCAAACTGAAGTGTTCCATCAGCTTCTCGAACACAGCAGGTTGTTTTTGATATAAAGTGTTCTGCATACAAGAGTACAAGAAACGCGTGATACAGCTGCTGCCAACCATGTTGACGCCCAGGTCGCTTTCCTCCCGCGGCCTTTTCATGGAGAACGAGGTGCCCTTGCCAATCACGGGTTGGTATGCAACAATCATGAATGGATTCTTTTTGAAAGACTGACCTTCGTCAGCGTACACACAAAAAGGCACTGCCAAGTGCAGCTCAGACGGCGCGATTACCAGGGAAGAGCAAGTAACCAGGGAAGAGCATGGAAGTTGACCAAAATTCATACACATGTATTGTGAATCAAAAACATCAAAGTTGGTGAGTAAAAAAAGAGGTTAATTTATCAAAAATTTGGGGCACTGCCACTAGTATTCCACTAAGCTTTCATTGGAGCTGATGGAACATTGTATTAAGCAACTGATGTTCTCAAATTTTTTGCCTTTGTTCAAATGTTGGGCTAGTAGGGGCACGAGTTGGATGTCTCTGGAAATCACTGTGTATGCAGACAGTGTACAAGGTCATTGGTACACTGCCATTTGTGTACACTGCCATTGGTTTGCGCTTGGTGTTGCACTTGGTTTTGCACTTGGTTTGCACCACTATCCTATTGCATTGTAGTGTGCCAACACCCCATCCATGGCACAGAAATTGCCACCCATTGTGAAAGGGGGACACTGGGGGGCGGCAGCTGGATGTTTCCATATAGCGCCGTGTATCCGACCCTTCGTCCCCTACATTGACATGCATTTGGCTTTCCTCATCCAATGTGTGTAAAACACAGGCACAATACATGTGGCGTCACAGTGCATTGTATTCCTGGTGCACTGTAGCGTGGGGAAGCCACAACACCTTCAAACCAACAAATGATGCATTCACTCCTTTAAAGGTTGAGAACACATATCATATCAGCAAACTTCTCCACCCACCTGCTTCTACCTTGTCCTCACTTCAGGGCTGTTGAATGTCAAATTTTGTCAATATTGATCAAGTTTCCAGCGTCGGACATATTGCGTCGGACATATTGCGTCGGACTTCAATGGGCTGGATCATTTCTTCTAGTGCAAAATATATTCAGGCAGCTTCGCAGGGAGAGTATCTTATTATTGCCATTTCTCTTGAAAGTTCGTGGTTGGACTTGGATCACGAGGTAGCCTGGCCCTCAGGATTGCATTTCTACAGTCAGATATGTAGTTGGCAATTGAAAGTGTGCTGGAGTTATCTCAATATTTAGGCTGTTTAATTAGAACCTTGACAATAAGTAGACCGTTGGCACTTAACTGGAAGCGACAATGATCATAGTCGGACTTGGTTTTGAGCTTGCAAATCAACACCTTGTTCAGAATTGTACATGAATCTTTGGTGGATCATTCTTCGTCAATAGCAGTGAATGGAAGAAAGCAACAGAGTCTCACTTCAATCATTTTCTGTTTATGTTTGGGTCACTCAGGCAAATCTCCTGGGCAAATTGAAGCGCCTTTTCCCAGCTGTGCCGGACTGCTCAGACTCAGTCAAGTGTAACAGTTGGCCGTGCGCGGGCGGGATGATTGGTACCTGACTTGGTTGTTTTTTGTATTTGTTGAGCCCTGGCACAACTTGTGACACCTGTAATGTTTCTGCTGGAGTGTCATTTTGCCTCAAGACAGATGATGTTGCAAGTTTCCAACATTTTGGACAATTGCACGCCACTAGCAACCTGCAACCAACTGACTCTTCTATGGTATAGTTCAGCTTTTGTACACAGTGTCTAATGCTAGCACTTTCCACAGCACACTAGACCTGACATGTCAATCGCCAACAGCGCAAAAGATCGTGTTTCACCGTGTTTCATCACATGTTTGCACATCTTGCATATACATGCATATCTTGACACCACTACTTATACCACAATCCAGCAACTTACTTCAGCAGGTTCAAGCATACGGGTTGGACTAATAGTTCATTGCATTGTCGGGCAGCGCACATGGGCCAAGCCGAAAGTATGGTTTTTGAAGCGTCGGACCACACGGGCCGTTTTGCACATGGGCCTTTTCTTATTAGAGAAGAGTGGACAGAGCCGGACCCACCCACTGAGCCAGGACAACATGTGTGCCTCGTGGAGCTGACTCCATCAGTTTGCAGGCAATACTTTGCAGCGCGCAATGTGAACTTCTCCGAGGAGCAGATCCGGCGATTCATGACCATGCCGGACTTGAACCTTGGCTGTTTCAGCATCGTTCACAGCCATTATATAATGTGTTTTCCTTAAAGCTGCAATACCTTAAAGTTTATGCTTTTGATGTGGCGCATCTAAAAATCAATTTATTGCCTTGCTTAAACTGTTGAATCGATCTTAAGTAAGTGTTGCAACAATTTATATAACCACTCAGGTGCCTGCTTCTTCTGGCGCGCTTGTCATTAGAACATGGAGAAGCACATGAATGCAGGTTCCAGTTGCTTGGCTGCTGGAAATCATTGACTTCATCAGTTTCGTTATCTTTTTAAAACATTTCTGTCTAGTTTACTTGATGTGACTGTTCAGATGCTCAAGGGACAGAGAATCAGGCACCAACCTGATGGCTGAGGCATTATGCACCAGGCGAATTTGTTGTGCCACTGGACAATGCCAGTCAGCACAATTTGCTAAGGCAGCTTGGTTGAATGCAAAGTTCCTGCCATAGAAACATGCTTGCCCTCAATTCACTGACACCTTATATACGATTGCAAAGTTTTCAAAAGCTCAGGATTGCGTCGGACCGTCTCCTTACGCGGCAGCGGCTTCGTTTGCTGGACTGGTCTGTTGAGCATGCAGAAGAGGTGATGTGCCGGACAGGTTGTGAGAGGGACCAGGTCTCAGAGTACCACTTCGCTGAGTATGCAGACCACCGCTACTTGTCGGGCCCACCCCAAGAGGTGCTGGTGCCATACAGAGGCCGGACCTATAGGACAAAGCATGCATTCCGCAGGCCGGACTTTTACAGTGTGCGCCAGGAAGGACAACACAGTGTCTCACTTGGGCCATATTAACTATTTTTGTCATTTGTTTTTTGAAGGAATGTCAGTCAGTCAGCGGAAATGTCACTACTCACTGACTCAGTTTGTGTGAATCCTCAGATGGGCAAAGGTACTCTTGTCTTCTTGGCCAATGGACTTAAGCTGGTCCCATTCCCCTTGAACATTCTGTTGACGGAGCAGCAGTTGGACATCCCCACATCGCTTTGGTTGCCTCCACCTCCTCCTGGACTTGGGCCTAACCCTGCGGCGAGCAGTGGCTATGAGGCTGATCACTGTGATCGAGTAGAGTCATTGGTGGACATGATGGTCGATTCGTCGGACATTCGCCAGGACATTGACGAAATCTTGAGATTTCCGGACAGACAATCTGAAGTCGGACATCATCAGATTGATAATCGCTTTCAGTAAAAGAAGGGGATTGTGCATTGGGTTTGTCTTGTATTTGCAAATTGAAACTAAATTGGGGAATCAGGGAGTCAGAACAGCAGAATGCACATTCCTGTTTTGGTTCATTGAGTGGCTTGTGACTGTCGTCAGAATCCCTCACATTCACAAGTCATGCCACAACTTGTCTTAGAGTGGCCTCTTGAGGATTGAGTGTTGTCCCCTCTTGCAGAATTCCAAACGAGGTTCCAAATTGGTGCAGGCACTGAGTCATGGGACCTCAGGAGCAGTGAGTCAGACAGAGCAATCTAAAGTAAAGTTTTGCAACAATTTAACCACTCAGGCACTTGCTTATTCTGGCACACTTGTCAATGAACCATTCTGTTAGGTTGGTTAACTTTTCCTTTCAACATACATAATATTAGGTTGTGGTTGCAACTAGGCATGTTTCTCTTCAAGTCAACTGAATTGAGGCCAGACTCTGGCAGCTCTTGACCTGGACCAATGGAGGTGCACTTGGGTGATCGTTTGAGGGTAGTATGGGAGGGCAGCTGGACAGAAGTTGTTTGTTTAGAGGCTGCTAGTTTGCAACCAGCAGTGACAACCTCATTTCAGCTTGCATTGACAATTCAAAGCTAAAGGTTCATTCACATTTGAGAGTCAGTCAGCACTTGTTCATTGAAACCTTCATGTTTGCAGACAGATGTGCTCAATCAGGATGCCAGCTCAGTCAGAAGGCACCCAGCAGCTCACAGACACACACACACATTCGACATAGATTCCCAGAAGACCCTGATGCCCTAAAACACATAGCATAGAGTTACAAAGGTAGTTAGGTCAATTGAAATATGGCAACATGAAGTAGTGCAACATGTGAAAATATGTTGAGATCAACAGCAACAAACCTTCACAAACTTTCACCTTCACAAACCATTGCTGGACAACTGGACAAACCTTCACTACAACTGGACAACTGGACAATCGGCATCGCTGCCATGGAACCGGATCCTGCGGAAGTGATTCGAGGGCCGAAGGACTATAAGCTGGACAATGTGATGGACCCAATCAAGATCACGAACAAGACGACTAATGGCATATGCCGTTTGCCGGGCCTCAAGCTGGTCATTTATGGGTCGGGCCATGAATATGAGGATGTTACCCGTGGAAATGGAGTCTCAGTTGCAAGTGTAATTTGGTTTGGCACTGACTCCAATCAATGTGAACTCTTTTTTTGAATATCAGGTCTTCAAAAGAAGATTTTGACATCAATGTGACTCATTTGAAAACGTGTGTTGCATGAATTCATCAGGTCTATTTGCTTGTATGTATGATTCTTCCAAAACTTGACTTTTTAGACAGTGAATGCTTAAATCACAATGTTTGTGAGCAGTGCCTCATCAAGTCAGCACCTATTCTTTCATGCCACAGTCTCATTGAAATCATCGACAAATTGTTTTGCCACCATTGAAACAGAAAAGGATCACAATCATGCTGAAAAGATATTAATAAGTGTTCTTGCAACTTAGACAACCACAGTTTTAGACAGGCCAAATATGTACAGTACAGGTGTTTGTGTACAATGACTAAACTCAAGTTGGCCAATTGTGTGAGCTAAGAATGGGGACCTGGCGCTACGGTCGTACCCCATGTGTTCCAGTTCATCTACGGTTCTGCAACACTGATTCAGTTGGACACGGAACACTTTATGCCCATGCTTGATGGGTCAGGAGAATTTTTTGTGGAACAAAGTGAGAAGGGCTGCTTACTTTAATTAAGAGCAGCAGTTCACTATGTGTCTTTTGTTTGATTTCCGATTGAATTCAATTTAATCGAAATAGAGCAGCATGCTTTGTCAGTTGTGATTAAGTTTTGGTGACTGAGTTTTGGAGCGGCTGGAGACTTTGATGAGCAAGAGTCTTCATTGGAGGGAGGCTGTGGTCTTTGCTTTGGCCACGATGAGGGCAATAATAAGGACCACGCCGGACAAAGACCATGAAATTCTGGTCGGACTTTACTGCGCCCTGGTCAGAGAGAATAATCAATTGTTGTAGTTTTGTCCTGGATGGGCTGATTTGTTTGTGAACGCTTGGTGGGGTACTAGTAGTGTTAGTCTTGAACTGCGAATTGTTTGCAGAAGAATCAGTTTAATAAGCAATATACCAATCTAGTTTGAGTCAGTCAATGCTTGAGGTGAGACGGGCATGATGCAGTCGGCCTTTCTTGGGACATGTTTGGGTGCCTTGCTGCAATGCCCGGTCACCTTCTTGAGTTTTTGCGGGACAGCGAAGCCGGAGTGGTGGACTCCCGTGCTGCCGACGGAGAAAATGCAGCCACTTGTGGAGCTGAGCCTCAAGGTGGACAAACTTCTTCGAGGACAATTAGTACCCAAGCCGGACAACACTCCTGAGGAGAGCATCCCATCGAAGGTGGAGTCAACCTCTAGCGAACAAGCCGGACAAAAAGTTGTTCCCAAACTTAGTGGACCTACTAGGTTTGGCACTGGGGTGGTCATGCATCCAGGCGACCAGGGCAACACAAACTATGGACCAGCTGTTGTCGGACCAACTGGAGAGGTGCCAATCCCACTCGGGATGAGGCCACCTTCCAAGGAGTGGAGATCAGGATTTTCGCCGGACAATATCAATATGATGTTCCAATTCCGGATGGACGCGGTGCGACAGGTCACTTTGATTGGATTGATTTTAGTGCAACTATTTTTCTTCTGTCAGTCTACTGTTTAGAACCATGTCATGTCCCATGTTCAATAAAGTTGTTGTTTTGTTGTAGTGAGTGAGGTTTTCCAATAGTCATTAGATTGTCAGTAAGAATGCAGCAGCCAAAGTTTAATATTCGTTGGTATGCTTGATATTAAATGTTTGAGTTGAGGCCCAGACATTTATTCTTCGGAATCTTCCTGCGACGGCCTCAATGATGGTCAGGATGGACTGCACGGAGGACATGTGGGTTGTAACTTGCACTACTTTACTTGTGAACTTTTGGTGTTGTTTCTATTCTTCTGCCAGCTGTTCCTTTGTTTGTGACATTTGCTCTAGCTAAGTTGGCAGCAAATATTTGCGGAAAGGGCCCTTGGGGCCGACATATATTGGCAGACTCGACGGACCAGCTTTGCAGTTCCTGGGTTTCAGCTGAGTATTTATTTTGATATACCTGTGAATGATTTTTCTTTGACGATGCATCCAGTATTCTCAATAGCTTCCTTTCAAGTCATACTGTACAGATTGTTTAGACATTGGCATACTAAGGACAGTACAATCTTGGAATCGGACAGGGAAAAGGTACTGCACCTATTTGGGAGAACTTTCGCTCTGCTTTTTTTAAGATCTTGCTTAGCAAGTCAAGACGGGCAATGCACCCTAAGAGCCACTGGCATTGATGTTGGTGGGCAACCTTTGTTCTTTGCCATTGTGTTTTTTCTAGTTGTTTGGATTCCTATTTGCTTTGTTTGATTGTTCAGTTTCTCAATGTCTTTCACCTATCCTAATAAACATGCAACTGAAGAATTACTCTAAATATTTTGCAAGGGTGAGTTCATGTGACTGAATATGATTGAATCAACCTGCAGGCGATGATGAAGAGTTCATCAGCTACAAGCTCGCTCGAGGCCGGAGGCTGGACGCACAAGGAGTGCCGGAGAACAAACGGACACGAGCATTTCCTGGGGAGATCACCAAGCACTTGGAGGAGGACATTGATCAAGGACGGAGATTTTGGCACACTACTATTTGGTCAAAAGAGGAGACGGACATGTGGACAGTGCAGAAGGAGGAGCATTTGGTAGAGCTGGACCCAAACATCAAACAGTCGGACATTACGCCGGACAATGGAAAGGGACAGGCATTCGACTCCCAGAAGGGCAGACTATTTTTGATGACCCAATCGGACAGATTGGCGGCCGAAGCAGAGCAGGCCAAAGCCAAGGGGAAAGCCAAAGGACCAGGCGGACTCTTTGGACCACCTGTCGGACCACCATCCAAGCCAGCGGTCAAGCCAATGCCAAAGCCGGACACCCCCAGCAAGCCTAAGCCAACAGAGCCGTTCAAGGCCTTTCCAACTCAGTCGAAGCAGCAGGACCCAAAGCCGAAGCCGCCAGAGCCACCAAAGCAGGACAAACAGGAGGAGGCGGAATTCGATCACTTGCCTCCGGCACCTCCTCCGGCAACTGAAAAGCCGGACCCGCAGAAGGGCAACAAGCAACCAGTGCAGTTGGACAAGCCTGCCAGCTCAGGAGATGGACTTGAAATGTCGGACAAATCAAGTGAAATGATGGAGAAGGAGATTGCGCTCCGGCAGCTGAGGGTCAGAGAGTTGGAGCTGAAGAAGGAACTTGCTGAAGCTGAATCTAGCACTGGAGCAAGTGAACAAAAAGGCTGGGGTCATGCTTATAAAGTTGAAAGTTATATGTTGAATCTAATGTTTTTTAATTGTTTAGAACTGAGCCCAGCAATGAACCTTGAAACAATGAGTAATGAATTCACTGAAAGCACAAGGGGGTTTCCACCAATGGATTTCATT